TAACACATTGTAACTAGTAGGGCCATCTATTATAAAGAAGACTGTGGTCCTAGTAGTTGTCCCTATAGTTATGTCCAATGGCATAACCCCTTTAGCTGAAGTCGCTCCTCCATTGAAACTCGTAAGGATGACTTCTGTTGGGATCATATCGCTTTCTGTCTTTGCAAATTTCCTCATCATCCAAGATGGAATGATGTTTATAGCTGCTCCATTGTCGACAAGCACTTTTGCCACAGGTATGCCGTTAACTAGAGCTTTAACGTACAATGGCCTCTCAAGTGTTTAGTTAACTTCATGGCTGGCTGCTTAAAAATAACCTTTTCGACAGCATCTATTTCCACTTCTTGTTTGTCTTCTGTCGAGTTATCCTTTTGTGATAAGTCAACGTGCAGCATGTCGTACTGAGCTTCCGTTTCCTGCATTTTCTTTTTACTATTTTCTAATACTTCTTCTTCAGTTACCCAACCTGTGGGAGGAGGCATTATTTTTGGAGGTGATCCATACTTTTTAGAGCAAAGAACTCTCTTTTTCCTTTTGGGCGCCCCGTACAACACGTAATAATCGAAAGAACGCCCAGACGGTTCCCCCAACAAGTCCACTTCACGAACCCCCTCTCGATGTAATTGCTTCAACAGAGTATTGTACAATACTCCTCTTTTTCTTCTTTCTGCTTCCAAATCAATTTCTTCTTCGATATCTATCATACCATCATCTCCTTCATCATCGTAGGCCCTTTTAGAAGTTTGGCCTTCTTCATATTCCAGCACGCATGCTCCTTCTTCGTTATCTTTCCCCTCTCCTTCTTCTTTTTCTTTATTCTTGAACTCATTGGCTAGCAAATAGTTATTAGCTATGACAGGAGGTAACGTACCGAACTGAATAGTAAGGGACTGATCTGGATCTTCTCCATCTCTTCTGTCTCGCTCAAACTTCGACCTCCCAGAAGAACTTTCTAGCAATTCTTTCATCGATTCGCCTGTACCAGTCTCCTCACTGTCTTCGAGAATATTTTGATTGGCTACCTCGAGTAGCTAGGCGCCTTAGGACGTGGCACTCCCCGTTGTTGCCTCATCATTCATCCATAGTTCCGTTGAAAATGCCTTTGTTGGGTTCTAGTCATCTCGTTGAAGGGTATCGCCCTTCCTGCATTATACTGGAACGAATGTCATACATTTGGTTGGTGAGGCTGCGGCCTGAATGTTCTCTCATTATTCACTGGCCTGAACTGCCTCTCAAAAGGCGGTCCCCTATAGAACGATGTACCTCGCCCTCTACCAGGCTGAGCGTTTGGGAAAAACTAGGGCGACGGTGATGCTGCCATATCCCTGGTTTCTCTATATTCCCACTCACTTCTCTTTTACATCTTGCACACAGGACGTCTTCATCCTTTTCAGGCTCTTTTCCTTTGATACGTTCAAAGACACTAGGATGTGGTCCAAGGTCCTCTTCCCCGTCATCTATAACTAACTTAAATTTTGGCAACTCATTTTTGAAACCAGTCGTTACCATATTCACCCCAAGTGGCTGTGGAAAAGAGTTTTTATCCACCGACATCTTTATCTTATCCTCGAACGTAATTCGTCCTGATTCAATGACATCCTGTAACACATGGAGAAAAACCAAACAGTTATTAGTCAAATGTGACCATGCATTATGCCACTTACAATATTTTTTACCCTTAACTTGTTCAGGGCTTGGCAATTTATGTTTATCGCTCAGCTTTATCTGCTTATCCTTATATAGTTTATCAAATATAAGGTCAGCTTAGGTTACATCGAACGAGAACGTTCTAGCCTTTTTTGTTTTCATCTTTTATAGGCTTATCTTTGCCCGACGGTCTAGGCTTAGCCATTACAAGACAAGTATACGTGTCTCCTTTGATTAATTCGGCCAAACACATTTCGGTTTGATCGTAATACTCGTCATTAATGGTATGAACATCAAAATTTAGGTCTCTATAATAAGTCCCCTTGCTAGAATTTCTCATTTGCTCTTCTTCTCTTGTTAATTGTTCATACCTAATCACGTTCGCGCTCAATTGGAAAAGATCGGGAAATTCTTTGTCTTGGAATTTCTTTTTCAAATCAAAGTTTAGACAACCTTGAGTGATTTTGACAAACTCCTTTTCGAGTAAAGGTACAAAACATTTACTTCTTGCTGTCTTGAACCTTTGAAGAAAACCTTTTGCCCATTCGTTTGGCATTTGACCTAGATTCACCAAATCGGCCAAAGTAACTTCGGACTCGGTCTTATAAAACTGAGCGTGGAACAATTGCTCCAATTGTTGCCATGTTTGAATAGAGTTCGCTGGCAGATTGATGAATCAGGAGAAAGCTACTCCTGTTAATGAACTAGGGAACATCCTCATTTTATGGTAATCAGTTACGTCACCACTTTGCAGTGTAAATCGCCCTGTGTGTTTTAGAGTAGACACCTCTCCTAAACCGGTAAATAGTGAGAATTCTGGCACTTTATACCCTCTAGGCCATGGATATACTTGGTCTACCCAATCAGGATATGGCTTTGAGTAAGTTGGCATAATGACAGGACGTACCCCAAAAGCCATCTGATCCTGTATTATTTCCATAATTTGATTCCTCAACATAACGTTGGGGTCATATGGAATTTCTACAGGTTGGTTGACCGGTTGATTTGCTTGAGGCCTAATATTTGGTCCGTGGTTGGCAACAAAGTTGCCATGATTTGGGCCATTGTTACCATTAGCCTGAATATTTACTCCATCATTAACACGTAGGGCATTCTGTCGATTATTTAGAACATTGTCTCTTATATTTAGGTTACCCCCAAGTTAGATGTACCATTACCACTATTCTGATTTGGCATTACACCATCCCCCTGGTTTGAAGTAGAGGGACCAAAAGGTGATTCTACCCCTTGATTTGGACTTAGGACTGGGGGATTATATTCCACAATTATCCTAGTTTGGAAGTGATTTGCAAGAGGCACGACTGGCTGACAAATTTGACCTACTAACTTATTCATTATTTCATTCAAAGTATTCAGTTGTTTGGCCATGTTATCATAATGTGCATTCCCATTCTGCGTCAGTCTTTCCATATTATGAATATTTCGTAGATTTACCTATTCAACGACATCCTGTGTGAGTTCTCCAAGTAATGCACGCATAGTTCGAGGACTCAACTCTGTCATTGGTTCGTAACAACTATGACTGCTTTGATTATGTCCATCTGTTCTTGGAGAGCTATGCTGCTCCTCATATCGCTCGATTACAGACTGGACTCCTCCCTGACTTGCTTCCTTATCAGATTTCTGAGGCATATTGTTTCACCTTTTGTATCTTCAACACCAAACACCAAGTCCCACTAGGCGTGCCAAGTTGTTTCGCGCGGGTAGTCGCTAACAATTTAAAAGCGATCAGACAATTGTGTAAGGAACAAACCTCTTGAGACAAAATCCCAAAAAGGGGTGTTTTATTAGCGATGACTTTACAATTGGAACTAAACTGAATGCCTTCAAGGAGCGCAAGCACACGAGTACTGAAAAGAAATGTTTAAGTCTAAACTAAGAAAATTGAAATTACATATTCTCTGTTTGAGAGTGTTTGATTCGGGATCTTTTGCTCTATGTCTTCTCTTCCTTTTATATTCCCTTGATGATTTCTTCATGATCAACCGCTTAGAAACTGCTTGATTGCTTTATAACTACCCACTTTCTTTATGGTGGCTAACGTCTCGTGGAACTGCCGTCTCTAACTGCTGCCACTGCTCTTTGTCGTTCAACCGTTTTCAACTGAACTCCTTGAATCGTGAAATGTGATAAGGTTACTCGATAACTGCTTCAATAACTGCACTTCTGGATAACCATAACATCTTATGTTTGCTAAGATCTTAGGCGATTCGAAGGTTTGGGCGAGAACAAGGTCATAGCTCTGGGCGACTGTAAGGTACTTCATTCGCTCAGATTTTGGGCGTTCTTGCAAACTTGGCCGATGATGTTACCATATTCGTGGGCTTCCACTGCATTCATTGGTAACCCTATTTGGGTCTTTATCCTGAATTTCCCAGTTGGACTTCATTTTTTGGGTTATTTGATTTGGGGATTCCTTAATTGGGCTTCATTCCTTGGGCTATTCGATTTGGGCTGCACTTTTAGTGTGTCAACAAAGTGTCTTATTGGGTATCCTTTCATAGGGTTCATCGTTAATAAAGTGGCTCATCTTAAGTCTTAATCCCGTTGTTTGTTGCAGTTCTATGAGGCCTTTTGTAGATCTCACTCAAGGTTACCTTCATATATATGTACTTTTTGAGTCTTCAGGAGCCAAGTTTATGTGTGATCACTAATATGTGGATTCTTCCCAAGTGATGGTGCATGAGCTAAAAATCGAAGCTCAAGTGGATTTAGCCATCTTGAATCACAAAAAAAATAAAATAAAATAAAATAATAATAATAATAATAATAATAATAATAATAATAATAATAATAATAATAATAATAATCATGCTCATTTTCTTGTATATTTGTTATCTCAAATTTGCTCATTGTAATCTTTCTTAGTTTAATTATCCAATTAAAACATATCTATCTTTGGTTATAACGACGAAATGGAAAGTAGTGCTTCACTCTTTTTAGTTTTGAAGGCTAGCTAAATAGTCAAAATGTATGGATAAAAAAAGGATAAAAAAATGTGAACCTTATGTAATATGGAGATGAAAATGATACTCGACCAATTTACAAGCTTGAAAAAGTAATCCGAACATGCTTATTATGACTTAAACGTATTTCCACCATTGTGTAAACCAGAAATATACATGTACTTCAATAAAATATACAGTATACACAGTGATAATTAATTGGTTAAGGACCTGGTTGGTCTCTCAACTTAAAGACAAGCTCACAAATAACTATAATTTTCAATTCATAATTTCTCATATTGTGTGTGAATTAATGGAAAGTAATTGCAAAATATACAGTGCATGGTGCATGGTTTTCTTTCTCAAGGATACTATCATTTGAATGTATTATCAGAATCAAAATTCCTCAATATTCTCATTATTCGGAGAAAAATATTCATACATAAAATAGCCTATCGTTGATGTTTCTTTATGAATGAAATAATCATGAACATACTTATTCAAAGAAACGCTAGCACATGAACACATCCAAAAGTGTGATCACTTCAATGCATACTTTATGATTCCTGGAAAATGAATGTTCATAAAGTAATCTTCCCATTGAATGCACTTTGGATCAAAGTTAAACACTTCACTTCCTCTAGTTGCCGTTCGTAGATTTTCAGTAGTACTGTCATCGAAGCTGCAAATGCAGTGGGACGATATAATTGTATTTGGATAGTTGCACCATAAATGCTATAAATGAGATAAATGACAAGCACAAGATGTTAATGGAAAGAGGGGGCAAAAAAGTATTGTTATTGAACAATGTGATAGTAGGGTCATAGTCAAATTGTTTAATGAAGAAAAATGCAATCTAACTTTATTGAACAATGTGACAGTAGCTCCACTATCATATAGACTGATGATGATCATTAATTTGGATGAATAACTTATTATATAAAAAACCTCTTTTAAATTATTTTCCTCTTAGATTTTGTCAATCCACTAGTTACTCAAAGTTTAATACTTGGAAAAGATAAAAGGTTTTTATAATACGTATGCAAATTTGAACACAAGTATTGACTAACTTACATAGAAAAAAATTAAATTTAAAAATGTAGATACGTACATTCCTTGAAAGAACAGGTACGGTTTGTAGAGTTCTGCTAAACGTATAGAATGATTGACTCTTCGTCTTGCATTCACATGTACATGTTCAAAATGGTTGCATAGTATCATGTTCGCCAACTTCAACATCTATGAGGTACCAAAAAAACAATACATAGTTACTATGACATTATTATAATTACCCTTCTCTTATCCATTCTTGAGTGAAAAAGCATGAGTCATATATTTATGTCACCACAAACAACACATTAGTCTTAACTTGTTAATTGAACTATTTTTTTAATTTCACGATGATACGAATTTAATGATGAAAAAATCCATCTCTGAAATTTGTCAATAATCCGTAACTGATTTAAATTAATATTTTCATCTTTTAACCTTAGAAATCAGTTATCGATTATGTGACAGAAAAAAGGCCTAAGTACAAATGTTCTGGTTAAAATTAATTTTCAATTTTTTAAGGTGAAAAGTTATGGAAATATTTAGAGTATCTCCATCAACTATCTTTATTTTAAAGAGATTAAAAAAAAAAAAAAAAAAAAAAAAAAAAAAAAAAAAAAAAGAGCATTTTGAAGAATATTTAAATATAAAGACCAGATCTTTTTGCGCACTCATCTTTATTTTGATTTTTTTCCTCAATTTAATTTTTTAAATACGACAGTAAAAAATCAGTAACAATTAGTGACGGACCCCACTAGCGATTTAACATTAATCTTCAAATTCTTTATAATTGAATAAATCACAAAATCCCTTGAGAATTATGTCTAAAATTTTCTTGAGAAGTTGAATTTCTATTCTAATTAATAAAATAGTAACTGGATTTTACTAGAAAAGATTAATAAAACTAACCTGTATAAATGGCAAGTAACGGATTGCAATATATCTGTGAAAGCTAGCCATGGTTTCCAATATTTTGGCTTCCTCTACTTTGATAGGCTTCCCTCCCGTATCAAGCAAAGGATTTTTAGTTAAATAACGATACATAAGCCACTTCATGTCTGCATATTTCAGTGGATTTCTTCGAGATGAACCAATATGATAAATTAACCTATGAGATGGTTGATTTGTATGCATAGCCATTGCTACAAGCATAGAATTCACCACCATATCACCAGGTATCTGCAAAATTTCGAAATCGAAATGTGCAACACAAAGAAAGAATCAATAATAATGGATGAAAAGAAATAAGTGGGAAGATTGTTTATGTATATGTACCATTAGCTTACCATGTCAAGTATCGAGTCGGGATCACCAACGAAGAATTTTATTTTTCCTTTGCCATAACCAACAAAGATGCTGTCAAGAGTTCTGTTTTTGGCAATTTGTTTATCATGAAACTTAGCTATAGAAAAAAATAAAAAATAAAACACTTAATAACCTTCAAAAACATTGTTCCATGTCAACATCCTACCTTATACTTTCGGTCCAACCAGAGAAGGGCTCTTTATAAGTACTTGTTATTATTGTTGGGCGTACAATAATGAGCTTAACATTTTCCTTCAACTTCTCCAGAAGCATTTCCCCCATAGCCTTTGTAAACACGTACGTGTTTGGCCATCCATGCAGCTTTGCTCTGGTAGATATTTTTCATTAATTATTTCTCACTTGCTAGGAAATGCAAAATAGAATAAGTAAACAACTACTCAACACCTGAAGAATTCGGGTTCGTTTGTCAAGTCTTTTGAAAAGTCAAAAACTGTTTTTGAGGCTAAGAAGTTACTTTTAAACCTATTTGAATAGTTTTCTAAAAAGTCTCTGTCTGTCTAGCTAGAACAAATTATAGAGCCGGATGACCTAGGGTAACTTTTTCCTCCAACAAAAAGCAGAAATCCTACCAAACAGACCCTTCGTATAGTTGGTCAATAATCAATGGCCTAAGATACTTTAATTAAATCATATCAAAATATCCCTTCACATTGATCAACATATTTAGAAATTGTTGGAGCTTGAAACATATAATAAAAAGTGCTATAATCAATTAACCTTTCAATTCCCAAATTTCTCATAACTGATTTGATCTTTAGCTCTGTTGCATTTTGAGCTTCAAGTCCTCTTAATCTTTCTTCCAGTATCTTTTTTTCTGTGTTGATGTCTAAATAGGAGATTTCAGCTCCATCAAGTGTTTCGCCCATACGAAATGGCTTTTCTGGCACGATCCCTACACTCGAGCCATGAACATAAGCTGTAAAAAACACGGAGATAGAGTTACGTACATTTGTGTATCGTTAATTTCCACATGAGATTGATAAACTAAATTAAATTTTTGGAAGTAAAAGACTATGTTGCTAGTTACCTGTGGATACATGGACAAACATCTCTATTTTTGAACAGTTTCTTGCAAATTTTTGTGCATGCATGGCTCCTAAAGCATTGATCCCCATTGCAACATCGTATCTATAAAAACTCCAAAAAATGCAGATTATTTCTATCCCTGCAGAGCTATTTCTCTACAATTTCAAATAATTTACATATGTTTTTCGACCAAACAGAACTGGGATCTAATTACCTTAAAGATGAGTAATGAGTATTTAGTGCATATTGTATATTTGTGTGAGAATTGCTGAAAAATAAATAGACCATAGTCCAATTAAAATATTACCTTTCATCAAATTTAGTTGTTGCCGCTGAGTTAACAATAATATCTACTTCTTGAGAAATCTCATCTCTCAATTTTGAGTCAAAGATACCCAAGTTTTCATAAGAAACGTCACCGCAAACTGGAATAACCTTTGATAATAGGAAAGGAATTAAATCTGCACCATATTTCGCCTTCAGAATTCCAAACAATTCAGTGTTGAGCACCTGGAACATAATCAATTATAGAGAGTCAAGTATGTAGATAAACTACTAAAAATTGGAAAATGAAATTACACGCGTAAGCTTGCAGAAGAAACATACGTTCAAGGGGGATTGAACACTATTTAAGTTATCATTGTAAAGGTTTGATAGTAGTTAACTAATAGTAATGCTTGAAGAGTTGAAAGGTCCTCAACCGCTAAGCTGCTCAAGTATTCAGAATACAAATTTCTTCAAAACCTCTTTTAGCTAGTTCAAACACTTTCAGATAATTATCCAACAATTTGATAAAAACTTCTTAGTCTTAGAAGCAGTTTTTAACTTTTCAAAAATCTTGTCAAACGGACTTTAAATTTATAGATTCTTTGTCAACTTTATTAAGAATAGTAATCCATCATTATTTCCACATTTAAGCGACGTGAGATTTCATACTTAATATCAAGCATACCATTTTCAACTAAAACGCATTCTGATCTTCTTTCACGACCTATCCAATGACTGGGTGCATTGCAATTGTGCAGCACAAAAAAACCACAAAAAATAAAAAAATAAAAAAAGGTAGAAGAAGAGGAAAAAGAAAAACCTCAAAACACTGCAAATATATTATGCCCCTATTTTATAGGGATTAAAATTTAGATTTTAATATAAGTTAAGATAAATAATTAATTTTTAATCACATATTTCATAGGACACAACTTTTTTACTACACATTTCATCATCTTTTAAATCAAAACTACTAAAAATCTGATTTTGATTCCTACCAAATAGGGGTTTTTAGCTTTACTAATGTATGCTTCACTTGTATACCTCTTCGTGTAAGCGCAGTTCAGCAGATCTCTTATCCACTGCCCTAATAAGAAGAAACAACTTCTTGATTTTGGGTTGAACTCTAAGTACTTTCTCCAAGAAAACTGCATGCAATTAGAAAAGTATTAGAAAGTTATACCCATATAATCAAGTGCTTATATAATTTTTCACGAGAGAGAGAGAGAGAGACAACTTTTTGCTAAAAATCCTGTGGCTCCAGTGATGAGAATCGTCTTTCCTTCAAAATATTGAAGAATTTTACTCTCTTCCATTGTAAGAATGCAAAAGAACTGTTACAAACTTGGTATTAAGTAGTTGTACAACATACATTACCTTGTTCAGATGATGGTATATATAGACACATATATAGATATAATAATTTAATCCACAAGTCAATTTCATGTTGGCCGAAAATTCTCGTTTCTTTATGAAAAAGTCAATAATGTAAACTTATGAGCTTACTATATATTAAAGTATCAAGAAAAGATAACTTGGCTCTTGGCTTCGTCGCCGTTTGTTTTTCTTTTTTTCGTGTCGAATTGTTGATTTGCCTAAAATCTTATTTTCTGACGTACATAAAATTTGCATGCAACAGAGTTAGGATTACTTGTCGGTTGAGATAATTGACTTTTTTAAATATATGTTTCAACAATTGCAGCAAAATTAAACTTGAAAGTGCAAGTAGATGGATTCAATTCATGTTTGGTCACCCAACTCACATGCTTATTTTTCATAATATTTAAACCACGATGTGTGGCCCCCAATTTACATGCTAATTGTTTCTAAATGGTCACCTAACTTTTTCTTTCAATATTACAAACCAATGCTTGTTAATTTGCATAATATTTGAAGCTTAAACTGAAATATTGTCAAATCATCTTCGTGTCGAAAACATCCTTTAGTCATTTAACCTATGTTTGGCCTCATTTTTAAAAAAATTCATTTTCATCCATATATTTTTTCATAAAATAATTTTACACGTAAATCGAATTTTTTTCTTATTTTTAATTACACATCCTCTTAAAAATCACTATTCCATAATGCATTTTCTTACAATAATGAGGCTCAAATAAGGGCTCATTTTTATGCAACGAAGACTAAGTGACTAGCAGGGTGAATTTTGACTAATATTAATAAACAAGGGCTAAGATGGATGCATCTCAACCCTTGATTTGAATTGCATCTGAGGTGCAGTCCTGTCATTCTAGCAGAACTCTAATTTTTTCCAATAATTATTGAACCTAATTTAGATTTTCCATCTGTCACCACTTAAAACAATAATGTCATTTTTTAATGTGGCAAACCATACACGTGTCTCAGCCATAGATGTTGCATACCAATATCCAAATGGTCGCTGTACTTTGCTTCCTCAAATGGTTATTGAATTTTAAAATCAGTGAATCTCGTATTTGATGTACCATCTGTCCCTCTGACGTTGAAAAAATTTAACGTTCAACGTTTCCCTCTTTTATTCTTTACCAAATGTAATTTATTACTTATTTTTTTAATCTGAAATTTAAAGTAATTCCTATGAATTTATGTAGTTAAGTTAAAATTCAGAAAATTTAATAAAGTTTAAATTAATTTATGAGTGCAGAATGCAAGGTTTTCTAGAGATTTGTTGTATAATCGAATTCTTGTTTTGAATTTTGAAAAATAAAAATTTTTAGAAATATATTTTTGGGGATTGATGCGTGTTTATTTGTCAATTCCTTTTTCCATATTTGTCATAAATTGTTGAGAAAATGGCAGCCGCCCAGTAGTATTGCGATCGAAAGAAAAACAATAAGAGAAAATAAACACAAATTTATTTGAATGTCCATTGACAAACTAGTATGGCTATGTTGACCCCTCAGTTTCCACGAAGCAATAATACATTGTTACTAATCTTCGTTGCCTAAAGTTTGCTTTGAATTTTAGACAAATTTTTATAATAAAATAATTTCCCGAATGTTGGTTTGACGGTGTAGGTTCATATGAGTTGATATAACTTTTGGATAAATAAATTTAATTTTATATTTTTATATGTTTAATAAAATTGAATTTCTGAATTTTAGTTTGACCATATAAGTTTGTATGAGTCAGAATAGTTTTTGAATAAAAAATATGAGTGAGAGAGAGAGAGAGAAGTTTGAGTAAGAAATTAAAATTAGAATTTGAAATTAAGGATGGTTGGTTTGAAAAGTAAAAGAGAAAAATATATGTCGTATCAGTTATGACACGAATAACCATATATCATCAATTGAGTGTCTTATGTACTATGGTGTATGTAAGAACGTCCCATTGAAATTTTTCTCGATATAGACTGAGGAACTAACTTGAAGTGGCTGCCATGTAAAAACAATAATTTTTATAATGATAGGAAACCAGATATTAATTTCAGAAATTATTAATAATTCTCAAAGTTGAATGATAAACTGGAAGCAATTATAGTATTTTAGTGATCGCCATAATTAAGCGAAAAGATAACTGCCCTATTATTATTATTATTATTATTATTATTATTATTATTATTATTATTATTATTATTATTATTAGGGTACTGTTATTTACCTCCAAAGTTTGTGTGTGTGTATCCACTTTTAAAAAGATAATTATATTATATTTTTAATTTTAATTAAATTTATATAAATAGACACATATAAAATTAACTAAAAATATATCTTTCTAAATTTGTCCATTAATATTTATTATAATCTTTTTATATTTTTTTAGAGTTTGTGTTTAACTTAAATTCTAATAATAAAAAATATCATCTTCAACTAAAATCATAATAATCATAAATATCCTCTTCAACTGAAATAAAAATAAAAAATAAAAATCAACACATTATTTTAGCTATAACTCTTTCGTGATATGAAAAATGGAATCTTATTTTTTTATACCATTTTTAAGTATTGGTTTGACAAATAAAAGTACACGAGAAATTTTAAAATAAGTTTCAATACTTATCCAAATGTACTTTTAGTACAAAAGGAAACAAAATTAAAATTACCAATCGAGACATAAACAACCAAAATTAATTTACATATGATTCAATGAGAGATTTGTTTTATTGCATGAGACAGTGTAGTCTTAATAGAAACCTATAAATTCAAGAAAAGAGATCCGTTAACCTTTTTAACTAAATATCAAAGTACTCACATGATAATATAAAAAGGGAAACATAAGGATCAGATTAAACGTTGATAGTGATTGGATGAATATATTGATTTTTAAAATTTTTCAAATTGTATTATGGACGTATTTATAGTGGAATGAATATATAAAATTTGTGTGGATTTATGATGTTTACATGAATGAATTCAATAAGAACATTATCGAAATTTGACATGAATGAAAATAATATTTTTTTACAATTTTAATATTTTAACAAGAATGTATATAGAGTGAGATGAATATATAAAAACTGTGGTTGTAAATGGCTGAATTGTTATTATTATTATTATTATTATTTCTTGACGACAGGTAAAAATTCATATCAAATCCCAAAAGAAAATAGTAAGAAACGTAAGATTCTGGGATGTTTTATTCTTTGTCTGCGGTTCTATAAACATCGCTCAATTCCACACCAAGCTAAGGTTGTCTTTTATAGGTGGAATGATATGGTTAAAGACAAGAATAAGTAGAAAATCAAGGGAACATTTGTCTTTACTTGTTTGGCTTCGATTAAAACATAGCTAGGTTGGATGGAACGTGGAGCCAATGGTAGTTTTGACTTTAGTATCTATCTGATCAAAGGATTGAATCAGAAGATTTTTGGATTTTGACAATTAGATTCATTGTTTTCTTCTGAATAGGTCTCAATAAAATTTAATGCGTTTCAGGGTGAACAAAAGAAATTTGAACATCTTTGGTTAATTATTGCTCTTCTTCAAATAGAGAGCTTAATTGAAGCAATACATTGTGGAGATAGAAGCCTAATTACGTGATAAGAGCTTGTACAACTTAGTTGTGATGTGTTCGGTTATTAATAACTAGTAGAGGTCAATGTCACATCCTGTTGATTACGTGAAATTCATATATTTAAGATAAAATATCGTGCGTGATGAAGAAAAAGCTTTCATTTCATTACGAAAAAAGAATTGATTAGGTATAAAGCATTTTCGTTTTTCATACTCAATCACCATGAGCTGTAATTTACTTGTAGAAGGATGGATAACGCTACTTTCAGCTTTCATACTCAAACCTGTCACCCACCATCTATAATGAAGGGTGGACATAGGAATATTGTAAAATAATAGATTGTGATGAACGATTAATTAGTTTTATCTAACAGTTCGTATAGCTTTTCTACTTACTCTAAAATAGTGTACTCTGTAACGTCCCGATCCCTTGTGGACCGAAACACTACTTACTTTACTTAACTAACTGGTGGTTTAATCATAGAAGAATATGTTTTAACGGAAGCTTATTTTTTACAATGATAATTTTAACAACAACCTTTCGAATACTTTAAATAAAACACTGAATAAAAAATAACGGAACGTAATTTATTTGAAGAAAACACAACTTGTTCTTGCGTTCAGCGTTATTCAAATACTTTAAAAAAATAACATTGAAAACGTTCACAAAAATAAATCTAAATAACTGGTTCACCGGGTTTTTCCATGGGCTCGTTATACCACTCTTCATCTTTTTCATCATTCAGGCCCAAGGTAGAATCATATCAATCTTTTCATAGTAAGATTTTCGGTAGAATCCCAAACACGTAAGTCATGACTTAACACGATGCCTCGACCGGAAGTACATACCGTACCCGGAGGTACCATTAGACATGGAGGTGTATGTCGTATCGGATGTACCATTAGACATACAAATATTAACATAAATTTTCATTTGCTAGAAACTTATAATTTAACACGAATTAACACTTTGCACCTCTACCTACCTTGATTGATGATTTAAATTTTGTTGAAAAATGCACTCCTTTGATGTTTCAAAAAAAAAAAAACACTCCGTTGAGAATTGATACTTGGAAAACACTTCTTGATAGTACCAAAACTTCTAGGAAAAACTAATTTTCCTCCCTCTCCTTTCTCTTTTTTCTAGATTTGAAAAAACTTTTGTCTTGGTGTGAAAAATGTGTATGCAATGGAGCCTATTTATAGGTGAAAATCTCACAACTTAAGGGCAAGTGAAGGGCCTAATACTCATTAATACGGGTGTCATTTATGTGGGAGTTATAGATTTAAGAAGGTACTAGAAAATCATGTAGGAATTTGACTTTTCATATTCCGCGTATTTCGGTTTATACTGTACAGCTTTTAATATTTCTATCATAACTTCTTCTCCCAATATCCGATCGAGATAATTTAAAGTGCTTTGGAAAGCTAACTCAAAGTGCTACAACTTTTCTTTAGATATTATTTTCCAAATCGAATGTTTTCTATGTCGTAAATGGATCTCAAATGAAACTAAAAATCTGAAGTATACTTTAGCCATCCAATATTCATGTTTTAGTGCTACTAAAGTGTTTAAAATTATTTGGGGTTATACATATTCTACTCTTTTTGTAACTCTGATTGAAACCATTCTTATAAGGTTACTCTTATGATAAATTTAAAATTTCTTCTAATAGTTTTCTCTATGTTATTGTTCTAATTATTTTTTCTTTCAATTGTATAAGGCATGAATTCTCTTTTTTACTTCATGACACAGAGACGGATTGCGGGGAATGCAGTCCCCCCCACCCTAACCCCCACGCAGGCCCGATAGCTTTTTTTATTTTTTTATTTT